TAGACTTGAATGGGATCTAAATAAATGTGGTAATGGATTTGTTTGAGTTTTCCACCGCCTGCCCATTTGTTTTATATGTTTATTATATATATTTTTTTGCATGATATGTTTGACTTTTCTTTTAATTAGTCAAAGTATTACAGTGGCAGGATATGATTTTTCAAGAACAAAAAAAAACGCTTATGAATTTCTTTGGTCGAAACCTTAGTTTCCTTAGATTCTAGGGTTCTCCTAAGAACCCTAAACAATGGTAAATTTAGGGAGGTTTCGAGAAATCCTTTATTTCCAAAAAAGTTTAACGCCCAAAAAAAAAATCATCACCAGAACTGCAATTGTAAAGGAGATACTCAAAAGGGCCAAGAATTGACTTTGGTTTAGATCGAAGAGTTTTCTTAACAAAATATTGGCAAATCATCTCAAATTTGTTATTTTCTTTAGACAGATGAGTCAACTCAAAGCAGATCGAATTTTTCTTAAAATAATGTTTGGGAAACCATGATTCTAAAAAAATAATATTCAAGCTCCGATACTACTTTTGGTCCCAGGTTTACTTAAACTTTGTGCTCATCATTTCAAAACTAAATAACTTGAACAAAATAGCAAGAAAATAAAAGAACACAAAGGATTTTTCGATCAAAAGCCTTGAAGGTTTAGCGACCAATTCTAACACCTAGTTCCCCGTTGAGCATCCGTTAGGATTAGGCTCGAATCCACTAGCATCGTCCAAAGTAGGCAAAGTTTCAATTACAAGAACACAAAGCTCTCAAATCACTTGCAATATACAATATCTTCTCAAAATAGTGGAAAGTCACACAAGAGTTTTACTCATATTTTTCCCTCTCAAATAACATAGAATTTCATAGAAAAACATCAAGAACACCCAGAGAAGATGAAATGCACGAGAGAAATACTGCTAGGATATTACAGAATGAAACCCTAAAGTCACCAGCCTCTATTTTATATGAGACCTTGCCAATGATATCATCCAACGGTGCAAGATCTACCACATGTCAACAATCCAGCAAAAGTGCCTTTTCAACTAAAGGGGTGTGTTGAGTTTTTTTATGCCCAATAAATCTCGGGCTATAATGTTAACATGGGTTAATTATTTCATAGGCATAGACTGATTAATGAAATAAGTCCAACAACCAAATCCATGAGCTACACCCGACCCAATTGTATTCCCTCTTGGATAGCTTGAATCTTGGCCCATATAAGTCCTTAAATGTCCAACTTAAAGCCTAACCCTAGAGTATATATAAGAATATAACCTTAGCCACTTTTCATGTATGATTTGTGAGGTTTAGTGTGAGAAAAAGTGGAATCTCCGCTGTCTCCTTTGGTGTGTGAAAAATAACCCCTAGAAGTGTCCAAAATGCTTGTTTACTTTGTGTAATTGGTAGTTCCTTAGTAGTATACTTTTGTGGTATCTTCGCCTAGCCTTTGTAGCCACAAATCATCACATTTTCTTGTCCTATGTGGGTAAAATTGAATAGCAACCGAAGTGAATTATAGCAAAACATTTGAATAGCAACCAAGGTGAATTATTGGTTGTGGTTTGAAGCCAGTTGGATTGGTTGTTGGTAGAGAAATGTACGTTGAATTGAGC